AATAAACCCAATTCAAATTCAGGCTGTGAGAGTTTGTTTACTTTGGACTTTTTTTTTTAAAATGCTATGGACCTTCAGGATGTAGGCGATTATAGTCCTCCACAGATTTTTTCCTTTATTATTACTGCCATAGCTTCTTGAGAAAGATAGTGGAATGGTTTCCTGTTGCATTCTCTATGGTTTGGAATTCAAGTTTACATTCTCTTAAAGCCGTTACCTCATAAGGTTAGAAAATCCAGTTTACTCAGCTATTTAAACATAGCCGGGAGACGGAGAAGAAGAAAGAAGAGAGCTTTCCTCAACAGCATTTGTGAGAAAGATGAAATTTGAACTTGTTTCACAGATTCCATGTTCTGTGCTAATAGCTGTCACACTACCTGACATCCTTTACACTACCGATCTTGAAAAAAAGGCATAAATTCATCTTTCAATAGGTTAGGTTAAAGATTACTCATTGCTACTGGTACAGTGTAACCTAACACAGTCTGTCACAGGTTACTTGGAGAGAAGATAAGCACTGCAAGTAATTCACATTGCGCCCCACCACAAAAAATGACATGAAGGATCTGGTATCATACTATAATATGGGTAATCTAATTTTAAATATAAATGATATGGGTAATCTAATTTTAAATACAAAGATGAAACAGGTATCAGTCATCCAGGTACATAATTTCATTAGCTAGATGAAGATGGCATTGCCATTAATGTCTTACCATTATGTGGGAGGTATTTCTGCTGGTATTTCTGAACTGAACGGTATTACACTTTAGCATAATCTTATCTATTCTGAGAGTAATCACTGCACTAGAGTTAATCTAGATTGAATGCCTCATTCCACTTTGTACTTGGAAAGGGATGCAATAACCAGCATGAAGAGAGTGGGGAGAGAAATAATAGTGCAAAAAAAAAAAAAAAAATTGCTGTATTTGTCAGCATAGTAATCAAATTCCAACATGTTTAGGTATGTACTAACTGGATAAATCTATACTCCAAAACAAACTAATAAGACTTTCATCAGACTGTCAAGTTCAGATGATTAAATGAGCAATGACTCTTTTCTGTCTAATTCAAATACTTATATGTCTATCAATAATCTAATTTATATTATGTACAAATATATAATCTAATTCTCATTTTATATATATATTTTAAAAATAAAAAAATTAATAAAAAAGGTGTTTTTTTTTTTTTCAAATTACAGAGATCAATAAAGGATACAGGAAATCTGAAATGGGATTCATCATATACATGTGTTCTGAGGCTTTGTCTACATTTTCAAGGATCTCGTACAACTCCACAGTTAGCTGTAACAAAAGCAGAATATTTAATATTAAACATTAAACTTTGGACTATTTAAAGTTACAATATTATTAAAAACAATATAAGTTACATAATGTTTACACAGAAAAGTACTGAAAAAATTTAAAGTATGCATAATATTTCAAATATAAAATCTATTTTTATGAAAGTTTATAAAAATATGTATACAAGACAATTTATCAGCTAATGTCTGTGAAATACTTGTCACAGTCATCACATAGTTTCTTTTTTTTTTTTTTAATTTTGAGAAATGAATATAAACAAGGTGTGGAGTAGCAGTCTAAAAATACATTGAATACAATCAATAGTTCAAGAGACATTAATTGGTAAATCTCTAAAGGTTATTTAGGATTATGGATAATGATTGGTATGTAATATAGATAAGGAATCTTTATGTATTCAATTAGTTTTATCTTGAAAATTATAGGCAGAAAGTATAGCATTATAATTTTTCAAATATTTAACAAATAAAAAATATTTAAAAATATTTAAAAATAATGACAAATGTTTTTTTCTTTCTTTGCAAAAGAAATAAATTCAGAGTGATATCTTGTCACCCAGTCCCAAAATGTTTAGTCTTCTGAATAATAGAAAAAATAGTGTAACAAGTTTTCAAGCAATTCATGGCAAATGTTAAAATTTAATGTGACTATCGAGAAAAAGGAGATGGAAAAAAAGGAGATGGAAAAAAAAACAAAACAAAAAAAACAAAAAACAAATATATTTGTTTTAAACTCTCATTATAAACATTTTTAATATTTAGCACTCTGCATCATTTATAAATATTACTTCTCCTTTTACTGTATATGGAATCCCCTCAAAATATAGTCTTTTATAGATTAGTTCTATATATTTGAAATTGCAGTAGCTTGACTCTCAATTTCAGTAATTTTTGTTTTAGGTATTGCCATAGAAAGGATATGACTACACAACCAAGAAATTTAGATTCAACTTGCATTGGGAAGACTAAAATTTTACTTGTCAAAAATAGTCACCTACAGAAAGCTAAAAATGCTAGTAATAAAAAGTGTAAATCTTCATTTTGAAAGTCAATAGCAATTTATTCCTATATATATATATATATATATATATATATATATATATATATGAACATGAAATTTTTTTGATGCATATAAACATCATTATGAGACATATTGAAAATTTTCCCTTTGTTTTGACTGTGTTAAAAAAGCCACACAAACAAAAAGAAAAAAATTAATAATATTTACCAGTATACGAGGTTACTGATCTCTGATAGATATATTTTTGTTTTAAGTAAAAGAGCAAGAATATACTAAGTTGAGCCATAAGTAATTTCAGTTTTGGGGAACCAAATGTAATATTTTTGAAGAATGAAGTTGATAAACTAAAAAGGAAATTATTTATGGCTCAATCTAATCTATAACATTCAAACTAGTAGAAAATAATTTTACTCCAATAAAGAATGATCTCTTTTACAGAACATACAGTAAAATTATCTTGTGTTAAAATAAATACTTCAACAGATGATTAGTTGCATGATATTGTAAAACAAGTATTGAGAAGAATATAGATTCAATTCTTACTTCAATGAGGCAACGTGTTCTTTCAGCATGAAATCTTTGCAAAAATGGTCCAACTAAATGGCATAAGAAAATATATTGTTCTTCTGTCCTGATGATGGGTTTGAGTTTTTCACGAACAAACCTTTAAATAAAAAGATATACAATTTCTAGTTACATACAATGACAAAACAATAATGAAGAATAAAGAAATTGTTGAATTGTTTGATAATGAATCAGAGGAACAAGAAAACTACTCTTTTATGTGCCATGTCCATTCAGGACGTTGGCGATCATGGTTCTCCATAACTTCCTGTCTTTTGTTGCTCTAAGTAATTTTTTACCATTTAACATCCCTCTTTGTCCCTGTTTTACTATCCATTCCCACAAACTCATTAAATAGATTAATCGCTATTTCTCTCTGCTTCTCATGCCTCTAGCATGCCCTATGTTTGATTCTCCAGGTGTTCTTTCCTCATTATATGTCTCAGAAATTTCAATGCTTTCTGATTATAAGTGCTCTTTTAGTACCCATTTTTATTAGAACTTCCTCTTTGCACTCATGTTTAGTCCATGGTATTCTCACCATTTGTCAATAGAACATTACACAAACAAATATAAAATATTAAAGAAATCCATAATGTTTGTTAATGTTTAGTTATAGACACAAATTTTTACAAGAGATATTTAGTAGCAGAAACAACATTCTGAAGAGTACTACAAATAAATGATATCTAAGAATGAAAGTGTGCATGTACATATTTCTCCTGATATATGAATTTATTTTAACTAAGATCTACTAATAATTGACCATTTTCCATGTTTATTACATTGGAATATCCTGAAAGGAGGGAGTTTTACATTACAAAAATAAACTCAAAGCTAAAATAAGGTATAATACATTTAGGTTTAATCTCAAATTTTCTGTTGCAAGCAGCAAAATATTTGTTGCTTGTCATAAGCAAATGAAATAGGTACTCCTTTATAAATAACCACAAAAGTCAGTATTGCTAAGAAATATAGGAAAGATGGTAAACTTGGACCTTTGGACCTGTGAAACCAGTGTGTCAAAAGGAGTTTTTCCATTGATACCACTATTATTTTAACTATCTTCACTCCTCAGCAATATTTATTCTTTTAAAAAACAATAATTAAAATTGTAATAAAAACTGAATATATGAAAGTGAATTTATACATTTTCTTTGTTTTTGAGAATTGACAACAAAAATAACAAACAGTATTTATCATATTGTTTTTTAGAATAGCTAGCAAATATAGTTGGTTCACATATTTTAATAATTTAGTAAATGTTTATAAATTTATGAATTTTCAGATTTATTTCAGTATAAACTGGTAAAAGATAAATATTGCATTGCATTAAGTTTAATTGTATTAGTTTTTAGAATGTTGTAAATATAAAATTTTTCTTGTAAATAATCTAATAAATAGTATAATATTTTTGTGTAAATTTTCAAGAAAAAAAAATTCACTTTCATCACATTTAAGTTTTTTTTTTATTAACAATTCTAACCAACTGTTTTTAAAATAACATAAATTGCCAAAGATTGAAAGTAGTTAAAATAATAGTGGAGTCAATGGAAAAACTGACTTTTTGACACTGCATCTTTTTTGTGGGCATGAATGTCCAAGTTTTCCCAAAAAGATACATGGTAATCAAAATAAAGCAAATTTTCTGTGTCTTAAGTACATATGAAAATAACAAGAAAAAAAAAATAGTTACAGACAATATTACCAAATAAATAAAGTGTGAGTGATTTGTAAATATTTTTATTTATAACCTCTTCAGAATGTTATTAATATATTAACCAAATTAACCACATTTCTTTTGCTAAAAAAGAAAAAAAAAAAAAGAAGAAATCCCACAGATGTTTTTGGGAGGGTTTATTATTATAAGTTAACAATGAAATTACTACATTTAATGGCATATGAGATCCACTCCCTTCCCACTTTACCAATTTACATTTAATCTTACCATATTACTAAGTTAGGGTTGGTATCTGTACGGATAGTCTGGATAAATATCAACAGTCCAAAGGAGATTTTTTTTTTTTTTTTTTTGAGAAAAATAAAAGGGAATGCGAGATAGCAACTGTTTTAAGAAAGTCAAAATTGTTCTTACCCAGGGATTTGGCTGAGCTGACCAATTCCAGCATGGTGCCAGCATGCATGAACCAGAGTCAGTAGGTAACTGCAATATTGTTCAGCATACACCTGATGGCTCACCTTGAAGTTAAACAACTGGAATGGTTGACAATAAGCAGTTGGTGTAGATAAAAGTGAGCTGCAGATTTGTTCTATAATTTTTTCATTCAGCACTGAATAGTATCGTTCCTAGAAAGTAAAAACAAAAAGGAAAATTTGGTTAAAAACAAAAATTCAAGAATGTACAATTTTGGTTTCAATAATGGTATATATATATATATATATATATATATAGTTTATGCAAAACTAGGTAATCCGCATGGGTAGACCCAAGGAGGATGATATCCGGAGAGCTCAATGCAAAATTCAGAGCCAATATGTTTGGATAAAAACAGACCACTTTAAGGTTCCATGTAATAAGTAATATATATATAAGCTTTTGGTACAATGAAAGATTTTTTTTTTGTTTATATATTAACCAAATTAACAACATTGCTTTTGTTAAAAAGAAAAAATTGTTTTCTGGATGTGTTTTTGTGTTTTTTTGTATGAATTTATAGGAAATTAACCATATTCATTAACAGGGTTGATACCTTTATTTGGATATGGAAAGGTGAGAGAAAGGTTAAACAAGAAACAAAATGTTCTTATTTAAAATCAGATAACCCTTTCCTGTAGATAGCTTAATGGTTATGGGAGTGTAAAGTAGAATTGTCAAAATTCCATTCTAGTCTGTTTTATTTGCTTTGCATTAATGCTATCGGGAAAATCATAAACCTACTTCTTCACATCCCAGCTACGGGTTAAAAAACAGGGTTGAGTGGGCTCTCTTGCCTTGAGTGAGAAAAAGATAATGAGAAGCCATTCCACTATTTTCACAAGAAGTCATAACAATTTACTGATGAGAAAGATATGGAATCTGTGGAGAGCTATGATCCTGAAAGGACATGGTATTAGAAAATGTGCATTCATTTTTGTTTTACTTAAAGGCAACATACATAACATTAGACTTAGTTTCTGCCTTGAAGCACTAAGCAAGAGACATGTTTATTTTGTTCTGTAGAGTTCAAATACCCAAGGTAACAACAAATATGCTAAAAAGAAATATTCAAATTTTTAATAGATTTAAGATATATACATGCATTCTGAACGTACACATTAGACAAAGAAAAAAAACTCAAAAAACTTAAACTAGTTAATGAATTTCTTACTTATTAGCAAATGAAAAAAAAAACAAAAAAAAAAAAAAAAAAAAAAAAAAAAAAAAAAAAAAAACAAACAAACAAAAAACAAAAAAAAAACACACAGGTGTGCATCCTCAGCAGGTCATTAGCTTAAATTACAAATCTCTAGTACAAAACTTTTACAAAAAGAAGACATACATGTATTTAAAGTTTTATTTACTCATATTTGTGTTCAAGTTTTGTATATTTGCTAAGCATAAATGAGTAAAAATAAATTGAAAAATGATAAAGAGAGAGGTTTACTGGTAATGATGTAATAATGAGTCCAACTGCATTCATCCAGCTCATTACTTTTTCACGTGGCACTCGTGTACAACTGAAAAATTAAAAAGAAAAAAATTTTAAATGATAATTTACAAATGATTTTGTTATACAGAAAATGACTACACAGAAATATTTAAACTCATTTCAAATAGTTTAATTTTAATAATTTAGATAAGCATTTTTCAAACTTTTTTTTAATGCAACCCACAGCAAGAACCACATTTTGCATTGGGATCCATTATACCTATGTGCAATAAATCAAAGACAAACTCTTTTCAGCAAGTTCATTTATTTAGTATCAACAATTTAAATGTATATGATCTGCACATATTGAAATTGCATGTATATTTCTATGAATATAAAATTATTGCTTTTAGAAAAACAAATTTAAAGGAAATTCCAACACAAAGGTAAAGTAAATAATATTTAAAAAAAAAAACCCCAAAAAACAAAAAAAACCCTATGTCATTTAATGAGATGAATGTTTTTGTTTGTTCATAAGCAGCTGATTCTAATTGGGAAGACAGGAAGAAAATCCTACATCCATATCAGGTGCAACATTGAGCTTGTTTCTAGTCCATCTTAAATTGAGTTAATGTGGAAAATCCCAGTTCAGACAAGTAGTTGTAAAAACAATAAAACAGCCTTTTTAGCCTTTCACCATATGTTGCATTGCTTAGTTTTGGCACAAGTTTTCTTTGTGAGAGAGAACTGACATCAGTCTGCAATGGATTTGACAAACAAGATAGATAAACTTAATGAGAACAGACTATATATGATAATCCTAAGGAGCTAGGCAAACCTACCTAGGTTTCACCTAAATGGATCGTCAGGGTAATGCTGGCCTAAATCCGTTTAGGTGAAACCTAGGTAGGTTTGCTTGGCTCCTTAGGATTATCTTAGGTTTTGCTCTACTTAGTGTATTGAGCACTTTACGTAGTTGTCTTTTTACTTGTTTTGGTTTTTTTTTTTCTTTGGATTTAGTGCTTGAACACTGGATGATTGTTTTTGCCTTGTTTTAATGTTCTTGGTTCTTTCTTTTTTATTCCCCATTTTTCCTCAGGTACCGATTTTTTCTACTGCAAGTCAAATCATCCAAGGTTTTTCCAAGCAAGTACCACTATATATATATATATATATATATATATATAAAATTATATTTAAAAAAAAAAAAATATATAATACAAGCTTAACTATGAAAAACTAGCAATGATTTATGAGTGTTGTGCAACATTTAGATTTGTTTATATTCTGCACTTTACTCTTCTCACTTGCATATTTTTTTTTCCTTACTTTCTTTTTGTCGTGACCCAGGCTCACTGAAGGGTCAGGACCCACAGTTTGAAAAACTGATTTAGAGGATTAGTACAAGTTTGTTAATGAAGACCAAATTTATGACATCCTTCTTGCTGTCTTAAGAAAATTGTTTTTCATTCTTTTCTTTTGTTACCTTTTCCGAATTCATGAAAAGCCCTAACACTAAAGGATGGAAAAAAAAAATTTACATATTTTTGTTACAATTCATTTGTTGCTTTAGAAGTGATAATAAAAATGGCTAGCTGCTTGTCACCATTATTATAAATTCAGCATAAATTATTTTCTTGTATTCTCATATTGAAGTAAAGCATGTAAAAATGGAACCCAGAAATCAAATTAAAATTTGGTAAAAGACCAATGATATTCCTTCCTAATGATTTCAAAAATTAAAATTGTGTTTTGAGATATGAAAGTGACAAGATTAACTATGTAATCATACAAATATTCAATTGTAGCAAGATGGCTGTCAGATCTATTATCAATCATAAACATGTTATAATTTTATTAATTCTAATTTAAATAGAATAAATAGCATGGATTGTTCTGTATTTTTATGTCTGATTGCTAGTCCATCAAAAACAAGTTTGTTTTCTCCCATTTCTAATCTGGTTCAAATGTATGCTTAGAATATTGCCATCACATCGGGTCTGGTATTCCTGCTATTTATCTAGAGATCCTTGATAAAATCTAAAGAAGAATCAACAATGTTATTGGCCCAGATCTGACATCTTGGCTTCAGTCACTTTCCCACCACCATAAGGTTACCTCCCTGTGCTTTTTCTATAAGTACTTTATGGCAATTGTTCGGATGAGCTCATTGCTATGGTGCTTAGACTTTTTGAATTTAAGCACAGTACCAGACTGGTGACGAGGTCTCATCAATTAAAAGTTGAGTTGGCTACTAGATGTAACTGTAAATTTCTTTTCTTGCTTGTAGAACTCTTCCAGCTCCATGTTTTCCAGACAATTTTATCTATATACTGACATCCTAATTACTCTTTGTTCTTACTCCTTAGTAATGTTTCTGTTCCTAACTCTTTCACTCCTAGTAACCCCTTGTGACTTGGTTGCTTTATTGCTCTGCATAGGGTGAACTAGATTAAAAAAAAAGAAAAAAAAAAAAAAAATCTGCAACAGAACTTCATGTTATTGACTTAGAATACATTCAAATGAGGTTTGTTAGACTGAATCAGTTCATTATTGAAAGAATCTATAAAGATATGATTGGCTAATGCCCCACCAGTAAAATCAAAGAATGCAATTATGGATTGAAACCTGACTCAGTCTTACCATCATCATTGTTATGGAATTGGCTCTAATCTGTCAGAACACAATGATGTCCTTAAAAGGTTGGCATAAAAGAAAAATACACAATTCTAAATTGACTTGAAAGTAGCTCTTATTATATCTTTCAAACTTCTTCAAAATGCATCTATTTCTCTCCAAATACAACATGTAAAAAAAGAAAATTTTGTTCCCATTTGATATATTTGAGTTAAGTCAGTTTCAAAAGAAATTAGAATTTAAGCCATTTTTTGGACAATAATTAAGATACTTTAATAAACCAGCAATGTTATATTATTTTAAAGAAATATTTCAGGATGTTAGATTAAACTTCTTATTTCAAATTCTAGATAGACAGAATTGATACTTAAAGAAGTAAAAAATATGTTACCTTGTAAGGATAACATCAAGAAGTGCTGCTCCTGCTATCTGGCTGGCGATTGGCAAAGCCATAATTTCAATGCATGTTACATGCAAGGCATGTGCTGCAGGGTTTGGGAATTCATTGAAACGCCAATCACAACTTGGAAAAGGGGATGGTATTTTATCTGAGATTGCTGCAAGGTAGTTAAAGAAACTGAAATCATTTAGGGGAACTTCTGGGAAGTATTTATTTCTATTAAATGTAAATAGATTAGGCTCTTTTTTTTTTTTTTTTTTTTTTAAATAGTTAACATTTCCAATGAGATTTAAATAGAATTTTCTTAAATCAAAAGAACATTCAAACATTTTACTGAAAGATCATGTTTACAAGTAATATAAAGAATGATGTGATTATTTGATAAATAAATTGAATGAAAATTTAAGTATATAAAAAATAAAATACAATGCAAATGTAGTAACGAATTATAAGTCATGTAAATGGATCTACATAAAACAAAGTTTAATATATATATATATATATATATATATATATATATATTTATTTTTTTAACTAATCTACATATGTGAATTCTTATATACCATATTTCAACATGTTTTGTTGATTGAAAATAAATGAAGATGAAAACTGAAGATATCAAGTTAATTCTAAATATCAAAAATCCACTTTAGAAATTCCTGAAAATAAAGAACTACCTTCCAGTTCCTACCATGGCGAAAAAAAGGTTTGATTACACTTCTGGATTGAGTTCATCAATATCTTAGAAGAAATATCTATGATAAGTATTGATTAAAATCAACCATGATAGATAAATTGAAAAATCTTATAGACTAGATCAGTGATTCTCAACTGCTGTGCCACGGCACACTAATGTGCCACAAAATATTGTCACAACATGTGTGTGTGTGTGTGTGGGGGGAGTAGTAATGGTACAATATTAATATTTTAGTAAATGAATAAGTATTAATTTTTTTCAAATAATTCCTTACACTATTTTTCGATTATGTTATTTTAAATGCTTTTTTTAATATTCATTTTTTTAAAAAGTATTTTTACTTTTTTTAAATTTAACTTTTTAAAATTTTCCTTTATTTGAATAAATGAATATTTAAATGTATATCCTTTAAAAATTTTGTTAAGTGCACCATGATATTTTCATTTACTCCTACATGTGCCATTGCTTAAAAAGGTTGAGAAACACAGGACTAGATTAATATGAGGTTAATATGATGTTAGCAGAATAAACTAATACAAACTAAGAAGCAACAATAAAACAGTTAATATTCAAGGGAAGTAATTCCAATTTGTGACGCCAAGGAAGATTTAAGTAGAAAAAACATATACAATTCAATCTGTTAATTTATTCATTCTATTAACAGGAAAGGATACTGTCAACAAGGCGCCCCACTAAACGAATATAATAGTCTTGGTCAGGTATCCAAGTCAAATCATCAGCAGGTTTTTGTAAGTAGTTCTGATAGTCCTCTGTTAGACACCAATTTGGAGGACGGATCTCTTTTAGAGCACCTGAAATGGACAATACATTATCATTAACAACAATATGGTTTTAATGCTTATATCGGAGAATAATACTGAGGTATTTTTCTTTTTTTTTAACAAGAAAATCTCCAAAAGTAATGCTCCCAGATTATTTGAAAAGAAAGCATACTAAATAAAGTAAGCACAATATTATTGTTGGTTAGGGCAAGCTTTCAGTTCTAAAAAAAAAAAATCAATATTTTTCCATCTAGCCATCATCAGTGATTATGCATTTTCAACCAGCAAGGAACAAGAACCTGTATGCTATGTTCATAAATGTAGCTTGTATACACATTACTGTTGCTGCTGAAATGCATTAGTCACTGCTTGTGCTCACAACCATTGTTTGGTCTTTGTAAATGTTCAGCAAGCAATGACAAATGTCAATGGATGTATTTATTCAATGATACACACCTACTTTTTTTTGTCAGATGCTATTTTGACAGGCAGCTGATATCTGTAACAAGGCAAAACAAACAAAATAATTATGAGTAATGTTCAACTTCTACTGGCATACCATCAACATCTATCCCTGAAAATAGGTTTTACTTTCAGAGAAGACATTGTATTTTCTTATCCCAAATCCTTGATTAAATTTTGATTAAATAACAAAAACAACCACTCATGCAAAGAAAAAAAAAAAAAAAAGCAACAGACACTGCATCTGAAGAACATGTCAAATAGAAATTTTCTAAGTGATAGTTATTGGAGCCATTAATACCAGTATTTGTGCAGAAAGCAAAGAAACTATGTTTCACAACAAGTAGCCACAGAAATTCCCAGAGAATAATTAAAAGGAATCTAGAGTGTCATGGTAATCTACCTCCTGAAGGAAAATAGCAAAATATATATATATAAAGAATTAATGGATTTATTTTTAATCTGAGATTTTCATTATTTCAAACATTATTTAGTGGATACTTGTATTTGAAACAGACGCCATATTTTTATTTTAAACAGTGTGTATTACATCAATGGGTTGTTTCGCCTACAAAGGGGATACAGGTTTGATCCCTGCCGAAGAGCATATTTTCTTTCAGATTCCTTGAATGCACAGGCTGACAAATGTAACATACAGTTTAAAATAAAAATGGAGCATCTATCTTAAATATGAGTATCTGCTAAATAACATTTGAAGTAATATTGAAGTATTTTGCAAAACTATTTAAATTACTCATTTTTAAGAATTGTTCCTTTTCTTAAAAAATGCTAAAAGATAAAATATTACAAGGAAAACATAATTAAAATGATAGATTTTTTAGAAATACATCTACACAAAATTACATTTAATGAAAAAACATTTATAAAAAAAAGAAAAGAAAAAAGAAGAAAAAAGAAGAAAAAACAGAAGAAAAAAAAACAGAAGAAAAAAAAAAAAAAAACAAAAAAGAAAAAAAAAAGGAAAAAAGAAAAAAAAAAAAAGAAAAAAGAAAAATTACTCACCAACTATAGATTGCACTAATTTTCTCTTGATTGTTGGCTGACTACTAAGTTTGCTTTCATAATAGTGCAATGTGTTGTACAAATAAATAATTGGACTGTCTGCAATGATAAAAACATTAATAAAAAAAAGTGAGATATAAGATACTGGGTCAAATATTCTGGATATATAAAATAGTTTAGCAAAATGAATATCTTGATTTTGCAGAGGTCATCTTTGGGTCAAATATCTTCTCTCTAACAATTCAAAAGACTGTTAAACCCCACCCACCTGAGGGAAGGGTATAGAAAAGCAATTGGCATTAAAATATTAGTCCAAACAAATCAACTTCTGAATATATAACTCAGCTTTACACCTTTATATGTATACACAGGTAATATCTGAATGAGTGTGATAAAGAATGTGACAAGAACCTTTTTAATATCTAGGACTGGATGAAGAATGCAGACCCCACCATAAAAGTTAACCAAGCTGAACTAGACACAATTGAATCAATCACAAAGATTAACCCAAATGAAGTACAAAGGAAAGATTTTATCCTACAACAATTACAAATAGAACAGATTACCCAGCATTCAGCACTCATCAGAACCAAACAATGTATACAGAGAAGATTAAAGACAATAAATATTTCTTGCTAAATGTAAATATGTACATATTTGGACCAGTCCTTTTTTTTTTTAAATCTCTTTAGATAATTCTTTGAAAATTAGGCTGACTGAATCATTTTGTTCCATTAGGTTGTTTTTTGTTTTTTTTTTGGTCCCTATCAGCTTGGGTGAATATTGATGGCAGTCTAACCAATCCTTTGAAAGTTAAGAATGGTGTTAAATAAGATCTGCTTGATACTCTTCTGTCTTCAATCTATTTTCTCGTGATGACTTATGCTCTGTATTAGTGAGGAAATTCAATAATTGCACTACAGGTAAATATTTTTTTATATTCTTAACTGTCTTCAATCAAAAACAAAATCATTTTATATATTAATTCAAGATTTCTCATATGCCAATGATTGTGGCCTGGTCACATTCTCAGGAGAATATACAATTGCTGATGAACAGACTTTCTGGTTTGATTTGACAATCAGTGTAAAGAAAACTGTTGTCATGTTTCAACCAGCTCCAGAGAAATTGTGCAGCCTAAAGTTTCTGTTGAAGGTAAGCTGTTGAAAGGCTTCCATGCTTTGAAAGTATTTTAAATCATAATACTTTAGATGAGGAGTTTACTCTTCATCTGTAGAAATCTATTGAGGCTCCTATTTGGTCTCAATGAATCAATTCATTTACAAATCAGCTATATGTGTGTTATTTCAGTTTTCCTATATTCATGTGAAACATATTCTAAATTGTAGACACAAAGTAGTTAGAAAGTTTCCATTAGTGTTATTTCAGAAAAATATTAAATATCCATGAGTTTTGCCACATCATGTACTCTATTCTACTTTAATGAACTCACTCAGGGTAAGTGATGAAAATTATCCAGAAACATTGACTTTGAACAAGTAGAGCATTTGGTAAAACAGAACTTAAAAGTAGTAAGAAATTGCAATAAAAGTTCAGTAAATATTTCAAAGATTCCTTATTAGACTCAATTTCTCTGGTTGGTAAGAAATCATGAGAGAGAAGTGCAGAAAAGATAAGTGAAAATAGACTACTTAGGAATGCATCAACTGAGCCAAAAGTAAAATGTGTGGTTAAAAAAGGGGAAATTATTTTGATTGACTCAGGTGTGAGTCAATGGGTTTAAGAATGTCTGCTTATCAGAATCTGCATTGAGAAATCACAGTAGCAGTCATGTATAAGGACATCATGTTGAATATAAATGCTGCTGCCAAAAGGTGGTTTTGATCTGTACTTTGTATAAGCAATGGAAGGACAAATCTGGTCTCATCAGGCATGGGAAGGTATATAATATTAATCATGAAAATATGGGACAAATAAATATTCAAAATAAACTTGTTTGTCAGCCATGTAATAGAAACTTTAAAAGCTTTTCTGGTTTTAAGAGTCATGGCAGAACGCATGAGCAGGAAGCAGTAGCAGATGTACAGTTACGAGTACAGTGATATTTATGTATGCTTGATGAACTATTCACTATACCTAAATACTCTATGTGCAGTGTACCTTCAGAATATTGGCAATCATGGCTCTCCACAATTTCCTGTCCTTTGTAGATTTTGTTATTTCTCTTAAATTTTGTTCCACAATCCATTTACCCAAGCTTGCTAGGTAGGTTATGCCTTGTATTTGTCTGTCCTGTGAGTATCAAATTTTCCAAGCACTCTTTCCTCATTATGTACCCTAGAAATTTCAACTGTCTCTTCCGGATATTACATATAAGTGTCCTTTTTGTTTTCATTTTCTCTAAAACTTTGTCGTTGCTGACATGATTGTTTTTTTTGGTTACCTTAAAGGAAAAGTGAGGTTTCTTAAAGATTTTTTTTTTTTTTTACTATTGTTGACCCAATACAAGGTCCAAGATCAACTCTAGGTAAAGGGTTACTTATTGACATTGTCATAAAGCCATAGGGGAGGAGGAAGGAAGAAGTGGTGCATATTATGAAGATATATCTATTGACTGTAAACTGAAAGAGGTTAAGGTTGTAATGGTATGTTACGTGTTTTCTCTGTCCCTCTTGTCTTCAATCTGTCCTGTGAGTATCAAATTTTCCAAGACCTCTTTTCTCATTATGTGCCCTAGAAATTTCAAATGTCTCTTCCTTAGGTGTAAGTGTCCTTTAGTTTCCATTTTCTCTAAAGCTTTGTCGTCGCTCACATGTTCAATCCACTGTATTCTCAGCATCCTTCTGTAGAATCATATTTCTGTCGCTTCAAATCTCTTCATCTGTGAGGAGATGGTCCAGATGGTTCACTGCCATATAGAACTGATATTATGAAACAATTCAGTAGTTTTCTTTGTTTCTAATAAAATCTTTCCGTTTCTTTGCTTAGGTTTTAGAAGGCAATTTTTAAATTTTGTAAGATATGCATTTACAAACAATTATAGTGTATTGACAGTAGATTGATTCTCTATCAGTTATTTGATAGCCAAGAATGTTGAAAGATGAATCCTTAAAAATTACTTTTCTTCAGTTTTGTAAATTTGTTATACAACAATTTAAGAAATTTAATTAAGTTTATACTTACCATGGAACTTGTAAAGTCCACCAAGAGGTTCTAAAATGTTTTCCAGAAATTTTGTTGTTAAGGGTACTTCTAATAAGCGATGAATAACGATGTCTAAAACCTGTAAAATTTTACATAAGAAAAATGATACACAAGACAAACATGTTATAATGATACATATTACAAACAATATATTATTAGTGTTTGAAATTATGTATCTAGGTGAAATAGTATCACAGAATGTAATGGTAAAACATTGCTTCAAATGAAGGGGGATTTTATTTGAGCCCAAAATTTATTTTTATTTACATTTTCTAAACAAAATGTTAAATTCAACAAAACTGAAAAAATTGTAAGAAAATCTTATAAAACGTCATAGTATCTTACACTAATGATTTTTTGGGAGGATGAGAAAGTATTGTGTTACACTGACTAAAAAGGAATTTTCCAACTTAAAAGTGAAAAATGGATATATGCTATTAAATTCTAATTTCTAATATCCATTATTTCAAGTTTTTGTGCTTACAAAGAGGTGCTGAAAAGTTCTTGGCCCAAACAATCTTCCCTAAAATCTGTTCAAATGACCAAACATCAGACTGCTTTTTTGAATCACGTGGTGAGGCTGAGAACATTTCAGCACTATGCCCAATAAAAAAAAAGATAAAACATTAATAAAAACTCACTGGCAAGAATCTCAAGCAAACATTTCCAAAATAAATTGGTAAATATTGATGTTGATTTGGACTATTAAGATCTTGAATTCCTTCATAATAAAATTTTTCAGGATATTTCTGAAATAGAATAGTAAAAATAAATTTCATCAGCAAAAATACAGAACATTTTTTTTTTATAAAACACAAGATTACAAAAAAAAAAAAAAAAAAAAAAAAAGAATATTCAGTAGTTGCTATATTTTGATAAATTGTAAATTTTAAGACTGCATATAAGAATTTTAAGTTGAGCCATTTTTTCCCATACACTTTAAAGATTATGATATAATAATATATTTTTAAAATCTCCAGCAAATTTTGGAAAAAAAAAAAAAAAAAAAAAAAAAAAAGAAAGAGTATCAAAAAGATGTTTTCCCCCTTGACACCACTATTATTTTAACTACCTTTACTCCTCAACAATAATTAGAATTGTAATAAAATCTAAACATATGATGAAAGTAAATCTATATGTAAAAATTCACTTTCACCATGTTTAGGTGGTTTTATTACAATTCTAATTGCTTTTTAAAACAATAAACATTGTTGAGGAGTGAAGGTAGAGGAAAATCAACCTTTTGACACCCCATTTTTTTTGCAGATGCGAGGGTCCAAGTTTGCCAAGTTTTCTTTCAAAATTTAAAAATCATGTATAAATTGAACGAGTTATCTATATTAAAACTTTCAAAATTGATTAATTAAAAAAACATTCACTTACTCTATGGAATTTCATATGATTTTCATGCCAATTATTCTGTAACCAATGTTCACCAGTGTTCTGAAAAGAATAACATTTCATATTTTTTTAAGAAAATTCTTTTTATCACTTATGTATATAAATTAACATTACATGATCTTATCTCAAATTTAAAAAGAAACATTTCCAAAAGTTGAAGTGGAATAGTGAAAAGGGAAATAAAATGTAACCAAATCACATTTGTACCAACATGACATATTAAAACGTTGATATTTGTACCAAATGAAATATTGGGTTGGCCAGAAGGTTGGTTTGTTTATTAAGTAGAAAATTTTGTAATAATCCAAACAAACTTTTTGGCCAAGCCAATATTTGGGAACAGTCATACACAATATATTCAATGATTGAATCCATAAGAGCAGCAGAATTATACATCAGGATAAAGGCACCTCTACATTATAGATCAAGAGTAACTATATACATTCATTATATATCATTGTATCATAAATGCTTGTTACTCAGAGTTGTCAAAAATTGTTACTTCTTAATAAACAGTTGTACTGTTTATTAAAAAGTAACAAAATTGTATTCTGTTTAGCACCTCCAATGATTGAATAATGTAAATAAGTGAAAATAAAAATGCCTTACCATTCTAACAAAGTCATAAACTCTGTTCTTGAAGTCATTAGGTCGTAGTAAGAGGAGCTGGATAATAAGGCAGCAGACCTGTGCTTCATTGGCTTCAAGATTTCTTAAGGCCTAAAAGAAAAAAAAAAGATGAAAATAAAAGAACATTAAAGAAAAAAAATATATGCAAAGTATGTACTGTATATACATTTTATGTAAGCCAGCAATTCAGGAAAGTTAAGAATGATGCAAACAATTTAAAAAAAAAAGTAATTAAGCTTGGCTGGTGATGAGATCTCATTAATTTACAGTTGAGTTGACTAGATGTAACTAAGTTCTATGCAAAATTTTTCTTGCTTGTGGAACTCTCTTCCAGTACCACGATTTCCAGACAACTTTAAATCTTCAAAAATTTAAATGCAATGTCAATCACTATCTACTGTCCTCATCATTATCTACTGTTCTTGCTTCTTAGTAATGTCTTTGTTTTCTCATTCTAGTAAACCCTTGTGTCTTAGTGGCTTTACTGACTTGCTTGCGATGAACTTGATTAAAAAAAAAAAAAAAAGTGGTAAACATCAAAGCTCATCTCATGTTTACTAGTGTAGTGATTTTGATACACAACAGATACCCCATAATTGTGGACTTGTGACAGATTAAGCTAAAATAAGCATAAATTATTGCCATAAGAATAAGTTAAACCAAGATTTCATCTCAATTTGTTCATGAAAAATAATACTTAAAAATGAAAGTTATAATACAGGAGTTCCAATTTTGTTGATATATAACAATGGGTAGAAAAAATTTCTCATTCTATGTAAAAATTTACAGAAATGCAAAAAGGTCAATTTCAAGATGATCTGAAAAGAAAAGACCTGATTGCATTCTCCAAAGTAGTTTGTTGACATATTTAAAGTCTCACATTTCTAAAAATATTAGTTATAATAGTAGCAGACATTGTATTTTTATTTATCAATAATTATCTGTATCTTGAAGCATTTTCTATATGTTCAATAAAAAAAAAAAAATTAAAAAATAGTTGTCATTTATTAGAAAATAAGTGAAAGACCCTTGATGAAGGTCTTAATCAAATTGATAGAAAAATTAAAAGAAATCTTTAAACCAAAAAGAAAAAGCAACAGAATAATTTTACATTTTATGATTATGCATTATAAACCAAAATGAAAAGAACTGAATGACTCAATTGTTCAAATAAGAGACATTTTACTCACAAGGCAGAGTACAACACGGTCAATGGTGACAATATTATACTTCCAGACCATGTCATTCAACACATCAACATACTGAAATAGAAAGAATAACAAAACTAAGTCCATTAACAAATTTTTCAGTTCTTAGTTTCAAAGTTTTATTTGTATCATATTGAGGAAAATTTCCCTGCTGGAATAAAAAAATTTCAATGAGGTTATCCCCCCTCCAATAAAAACATTTCAACATGGAAGTATCATTCTAACAAAATACATTAACTATAAAGCATATATAAATATTTTTATTTAAAACTGCAAATAATGTTTTTTCTGCAATATTAATTTTATGAATTGCGTTATATCCAATTCTTAACAAAATAATTGGTGACATGGTTGTTGTGAGGATTATTAACAAAAGATGTTTTCAAAAAAAAAAAAAAAAAAAAAAAATTCAAATAAAAATATTGATTCTATTATAAACATTAACCCTTTTATGAAAACAAAAAAGTAGAAAATTATTAAAATGATTAAATATAATTCTGTCAGAAGTATAAAACATACTCTTGTTAATGACGGGCCACTTGGAGAACTGGAAAATTCAAATACTAAGAAGTCAGCAAAAGTGCGCAAATGTGAGGACAATGAACGAGGTCCAAGTCTTTCCAGGACTCTAAAAAAACAAAGAGGAAATTAATAAATTTTCTGATGACCTTATAAAAATTATACAGTAAACAAGTAGTATTCCTTATATCTTTTGCTTTTAGTTTAATAGTTATAGTAACAGTAGTAGCAATAAGTTCTATTGTTAATAAGATTGTTCTTTTATCTTTTTAAAAATTGAAAACCAGAAAAAAAAAAAAAAAAAAAAAAATGATTAGCTAAAATTCTCTTTAAATTTATTCTATTTTTTTTTTTATATAGCAAATTAAATTCAATAATAATGCAATGGCTCTATAAAATGATATAAGTATGAATTTCAAAGATTGCTATAAAGATACTTATAACCACACATAAATTAGGACAAAAATTATTTCAAAATTTTAATCTGTTACTTTAATACATATTTACAATAAATAAACAACCAGGTCTTGAGAATAAATTTAGAATTTTAAATTTATTCGAAATAACAATGGTTACTTGGATAAAGGTGATTTTAATTATCTTTGGATGTTATAGATTATTATAGATCTACAATAAAGATCACATTGAAACTTAAAAAGTAGAACTCAGTAAAGCTAAAAAACAACACTTGTCATAAGATCAAATTCAAGATAGATGAGAAAGAAACAGGAATATATAGAGTTGTTCAGACAACTGAATTCTTTATGTTGTCTTTGTTAAATTTTGACCAATCTGGAGCACAATCTGTAAAGAAATAGTGGAGGGGGTGCCACATGCAAATATAGAAAAGAATAGGGGAGAAACCAACCATAAAGTCAGATTTAAAAGAAAAAGAAAATCATATATAAAAAGCAAGTAGGAAAGTTTGATATTACAAAAAATAGCTGGATAGAGAAAAGTGTACATTACACTTTCTTAGTCCAATTAATGAAGAACATCTGTAGAGTAAGAAAATGAAATGACACACATTCACTTCTTAGACAAGCAAGTATGTAAGTGTTGTGTAGATTCCTTTGTTCAGAAGGGAAGAAACTAAAGTGCATCCCCATGTTTAAACATGGAATCACTAGTGTTACATGGATTTCTGAGAATCATATTTTCTGTGTGGCTTATATTGCTGAGAAATAAGCCACCATTTTTTTCCTGTTCAGGAGTTATTTTTATGAAAAAAGAAAACCTTAACTTTTTCTCAAAGATTGTAGACCTATAAAAAAGCTAGCTGGCTAAAATGTTACATTAACAAAAGCAACATTAAGGGCAAGCTTAATAGTCTCCATAGCTGTTGACATAATAAACTCTCAAAACTGTAAACAATATGAATATATTATTTTAATGTTGGAAGTTGTGCACATATATTTTATCACTTTAAAATATTTTAGTGGGTACCCATATTTGAGTACATACTGTTTATTTATTAAACAGTATATTTATTTTCATCTACAGGCCTGAATATTTGAGAAAATTTATTAAAGAAAAATATGCGCTCTCCAGCAGGACTTAAACCTACATTCCCAGTGGCAAGAAAAAACATTGTTAGATCTAACATGTTTATACTGACTCTGCTTCATCAGTGAGGCACTCTGCAACTAAGTTGAATAGAGCCTTATAAATGCAAATATTTATCTGACTCTTAAAACATTATCTGCTCAGTTTCATATTCTAACATAAACAAAGCAATTGCAAAGAAACGTTTGGTGGTGCATTCTATAGCTGAGCTGGTATAGGCACATGGAATCTAATGCCAAGGGGAACGCAGGTCTGAGTTCTGCTGGGGAATGCATAGTTTTTTTTTTTTTTTTTTAATAAGATTTCTTGAATATTCAGGCTGGTAGACAAAAATAAAGATACTGTTTAATAAATAAATGGAACATCTACTCAAATATGGGTCTCTACTAAAATAACAATTAAGGTGATAAAAATCTGTCGGACTAATAATTAAAAAAATCCATTACTACTTTAGAAATTGTACACATATATGAGAGAATGAGAATGTTAGCAATAAAAATGGAGTTCAAAAGGTGGGGGAGGGGGAGAATCAAAGATTAATTTTTTTCCTTTCATCTTTTTCAAACAAACTCAGCATTAATACTAGTTTTCTCAAGAGTTTGTGGCCAAATTTAAGTAGTTAGTATTGATTAGTTTTTTGCGATTGAGAAAAGACTAGCTGTCACATCTTTGATAAAACTTGTAAAGACAGGTTTTTATTTTTAATTTTTAAGTATACTTAAGTAATTATCAAAGTACACACACATTTTTATATATATATATATATATATATATATATATATAAAAAACTCTGTGTAAACTCAAATCACTGTTCAATCCCTCAATGTATGATTTTAAGTTTTGATGAATTAAACAGAGATTTAGGTTTACTCAGAGAGTATAATTTCCAGAGATTCCTCTAAACAACAATATTCTTCAGAACAGCGAGTCCCACTCTGGTTATTCCTCATATTGTTGAAAAAGGAGACAGTCATGTCCAAAAATTCCAACTTTAAAATCTTTCTCATCATGCTTCAATTTAGTCAAAAGGTTAATATACAATAAATATCATCAATTTTATTGCCAATATTGTTATCATTTTGTTGGCTTTTTATTCCTCAAATTTTATTAACTGGCCTATTAAATTTTATATACACACACACATTATATATATATATATATATATATATATATATATATATATACACACACACACATTACACCCTAAGGTTTAGAAAATAATATATTCAAAATTGCATGAAAAAATATAAAACCAAAAACATTAATAATCATTTTTGAGCTGGTAAATATATAAACTGATCACTTACTTATATGCAGTTGGAGAGATCCGGTTGTCATCCAGTAAATTTTTCCAGATAATGCTGAAAAGACAAACATTTTTTTTTTCTTTTTAATTCTGATTGTTGGAAAATTATGTGTCAATGTTATCATCATAAAAACATATAATAGGATAATTGGTGGATTAAATTCTAACTCACTCTCTGGTAAAATCTAAAGCTTAGATCTTATCACCTAAAAAAAAAAAAAAAAAAAATTATATATATATATATATATATATATATATATATATATATATATATATATATATATAAATAAATAACAGTAAATACTAGCTGGGCCCATGAAAATTCCAACTAAGCCAAAACAACTAAGACATTACCATGACTCATATTTCTATTGCATAGATATTTCTGCATTTATTTTGTTAAAGGATTTTATTACAGATTGAATACATCTATATTAACTACAATAACATGCAAAGGTAAATAAAACTAATATATTTATTGTTATTATTTATTACTTTTGCAACCTGTCTATATTTGTGTGATTTGCTATGAGAACTTAATTTTCAGGTTTCAGACAAATGAACAACAGTTATAGTGAAGGTCAAGTCCCTTTTGTTCCCATTTATACAAAGTAACTAACATTTTTAATTTTATTTTACTAATGTGGAAAAAAAAAAACAGGATCATTTTGCCTAGGACAAGTATAGTATCAGTGCACTGTGAAATATGTAAAATGAGAACGAATACAGTACAATTCTAATGTTCCTAACATTTATTTTAAAAGAGGGCTCAATGCAAACAGTAATATTCTTTATTTTAGGATATTACATCGAAAAACATGTAAAAAAAAATGCTACATAATTGCAGTCATGTTTTGATGCGAATCAATGCATCTCATCAGGCATTAGTAAATAATTGACAATTGTTCTGATGAACATTTTCCCAAGGTAACTAGACTTTATGAATTTAAGTGCAGTACTAGATTGGCAGCAATGTCTCATCTTTTTACAGTTGAAATGGTTAGATGTAACTAAGTTCTAGGCTAAAAGTTTCTTCTCGTTTGTGGAACTCTTTTCTTGTTCCCTAGTCAACTTTGATCTTCAAAAGTTTTAATGCAATGTCAATTGTTATCTTGTCATAATTCCTGTTCTTTTATTGTTTTCTCTTTACTATTTCCCCTCCAACACTTAGTAACCCAACCCCTTGTGTCTTAGTGACTTATATTGTTGTTTATATGTGATAAAGTATATTTTTAATAGTTACCAAATTAAAGAATAATGTAAAATGGAATCAGTAAACCTAAACCTGATGAAAATAATAGATAACTTACCATAAAAACAATGGTGGAGTCCCTTGCATAGAAAAATGTGCAATGATATCATTCTCATTGGCCATACCTTAAAAAAAAAAAAAAAAAAAAAGGAAATAAATATTAATGTTTTAGATTTACAAAATATATCAATATATTTCTTTTGGTACATGTAGGCGTTCTGAAAGCAAAGGAAGTATTTGTCGCAGATTGCTTTCACAACACAAAGAAAAATCACTAAGTACAGACTCGAATATCGGGGGCAGAAAGAAATGCTGAAAACTCGATTCACCGGTACTATCTCAAATCACAATGCGTGTAACCAGTCAGAAAAATAACTCACTCTCTAACAAACGCCAAAGCCAAAAGTGCCCAAATTTTCCGCCCTGAATCAAGAACACCAACTGCTTTTATCGGCAGAACCTATTTTTTTCATTCGTCAACAGCTGGGATAGGATGCTCCGTAATTTGCATATCAAAATACTTTTATAGCGACTCCTGCGACGGACTTGTTTCTTTTTCGTCACTTTTTCCGTCGTTTAGAATACATGCGACGTGATGTCGCTTGATTTGACGAAGTAAGTCGCTGTTTTCTTCGCTATAAGATTTTTGCTGACTACTTTTTGGTAATTTTTCTTCGGCAGATCGCACACAAAACACAAACTTTTTTCCGGGGTACCTGATTATCTCTTTCACTACAGTACATCAATATGAAACACACACACAAATTTCATACACAATATTTGCCTTATTATACTATCATAAAAATTAATTTTATTATGTGTATCAAATAGATAAATATTTATCAAAATATTTTTATTCTGACTTTATTATTTATGTTTTCTGCTTTTTATCTTGCAATGAGACAGCAAGAACATTATAACATATCATTCCAAGATATGACCACATTAGCACAGGAAATAAAGGTGGAAAACAAAGGAATTCTATAATTAAAATGAGTAGAATTGTGCAACAAATTAATGGAAGTAAATAAGAAATGCACTAAAAGCAATTTCCCATCACATCTCCAGAAAATCAGAATTTATTTTCATTTAATCCATATGATATTTTTTTTTTCTAAATCAACACAAGGAGTTACTGTGTGTAGAAGAATTAAGAACAGAAACATTAATAATGAACTGGAACAACAGATGATGACTTCCAGCAGGCAGAAAAAGCAAGAGGCAGTGAGGCATTTATTATTTAGAGAGAACAGGAGTCAGTTTGGGAATACACTTCTTAATGATTATTACAAGGATAATCAGATCCACATGCTTTGTGGGGATCTAGGTGAGAGATGATAATAGAAATCATGGAAGGAATTATATGTATATCATTCAAAAGAAACTCAGTTTTAAGAGGGAAGTTAGGCAGGGATACTCCAGATGAGTCAACAGTAGTGTTTAAGGAGAATTTATGGGCAAAGCATTCAGTTTTATCACCAGAGGATGTTAACACATTAAATTGATTGAAAAGGGGAGGAATAGAGACCTTACATTTATTTTGTTTTTAACTCACTCTCTCTAGTTTTACTTATTTGATGTAATATAGCAATTATTTTTTCCATCCAGATGGAGTTTGGAAAACTGTTTTATTAAAAGAAATATTTTACTACACAAATAAAATTTCATGCCATTACACATAACCTTTTTTTAGGCACATAATTCTTTTCAGAAAAAAATTGGTATTAAGTTTTCAGGATATTTATTTTTTAATTTTCTGTTCTATAAAGACTGCCATGAATTATAAGAAAGAGAAACAAGATACTGTAAAGTTAATAAGTGATGGGAACACAAACGTGGAAATTGCACAAAAGTTAGATGAGAGAACAATCAAAGAAAAAACTGAAAACATTAGCAAGATCAAAGAATAAAACTGGTTTTACAGATGGTAAAAAAAAAAAGTGATTTGATAAAAATTAAAAGGGGCAATAAGTAGCTTGACCAGCAAGAAAACATTTGAAGAAGCTCATGTGACAAATGTCAATAGAAAAAAGATGCATAATATTAAGAACATTGGCTAAAGACATGAAAGCAAAAAGTAGCACCTTTAAGTAAAAGGTCACAAAGAGAAATGTATAAGTTGGTCAAAAAAGTACATGAAAACTGCTTTTTCAAGAGTCATTTTTAGTGATTAATGTAAAGCTACATTGGATGGACTTGATGGCTGGATGAGAAGTTAGATCCTTTATGGAAATAGTCAAATAACAGGGGAAAGGTGGAATAATGTATATAATTAACATTGTAGGCAGTAAAATTTAATAGGTGTGTTTAAAGTTGATGATAGCTTAAGATAAATACAGAGAATTATTATAAATTCTTGGACAAGATTTTTTTTTTTTTTAAAATTAGTTTCGCCCCATGCAAGGCAGTAAAACCATTAAAACACAAAGGATTGCAGGGTGTGGGAGAATCAGGAATGGAAACATTAATGGAAAGAGTAATCAGGAGTACAGTAGATAACAATAGTGATTAACACTGCATTTAAATTTTTTGCAGATTCAAGTTGGCTGGAGCTGGAGGAGAGTTCCACAAGTGAGAAGTGCAAGAAAAGAAATTGTTAGCATAAAATTTATGGTTACATCTAGCCAGTTCAACTGTAAATTGATATTTGTTGAATGTTACAGGTCAGAACAAAGAAGCTTTGTTAAAAGATATATTAATGCAAGATAATGCTCCTTGATATTCTATAAAACTGACCTTGCCAAAAGAGGTTACAAAAGATACTAAATTAACAGACTATCACCTCGGCTCTTCAGGTGTTAACCCAATAGAACACTTGTGATCTGTCATTAAGAGATTTATATGAATAGAGAAAATAATATTTAAACAAGAAAATAAAATCTGCTGCAAATAGAGTTAAAGTTAAAAAATATTAATGACTGAAAAACTGATGAAGGTTATACAATGTCAAGGAGCCCATATCAATTTGCGATAATTTATTCTAGTACATTCTGAAAGTTTAGTTAAAAAATACTGAATATTCTTAAAGATGCATATTTATCTTCTAGATTTCTTATGATGGGTTTAATATACAAAATTCACACTAATGTTTTAGTATGAAATATTATATAAGTAAATTGGATTTTTTTCTCTTATGATAAAATGGATAACTCTATAGCCATGTTGATCAATTACTTAATTTTAATTTCTTATACAATGAGTTTATTATGCATTAGCATTTAGTAAACTTAGCTTAAATGTGACTGTAAATAAACTTAGTTTAGCCTGTCACAAGGCTATAAGTGAGGATTGAACGTGTGACAATTTAAATGGTTTGTGTGCTAGCTATTGGTCTGTGATGGTGCAATCAATTTCAATTTATATATAAACTTCAAGCAGGATGTAAAGAAAGATAATGATCAAAGTTGTCCTTTTAATAAAAGTTGAAAATTTCATTTCACATGTACTTCTCCATTTTTTATACTCTGTGTCCACATTCTTTTGGAGAACTGTTTTGTCTTCTTTAGGGACATGTTTCTGATTAAAGAATTCACTGATTGTAGCTGGAAAGCAGGACAGAGTATGACTGGGCCAACCATGTGGAGTGTGCTGCATAATTGAATTCAATATTTCCCAACACCAGTTTCCTGAAAGGCTCTCTGCACCTGTTTAGAAGAAAAACAAAACAAAAACAAAAAAAAAAAAAGATATATTAAGGCTGAAGTTGGAAGGACATCTTGACATCTGACTGCAACAAATAAGCATAATACACTGTTATATACTATTTAACCTAGTCCTTAATTTCTATCAATAAACAAAAGGAAAAAAAAAAAATATTGTAGCCAAGTAGGAAATACTATATAATGATGCATAAGTATATTGTGTTAATTCATCTTTACACAGTGTAGTGTGTAAGAAATCACTTCAAATATAGTATCTTTTCAAGAAGTTACATATATAATAAAAATATTTATTGAATTATGATTAGTGTCTTTTCCGAGATAACTTGAAATGCAGAATTAGATAGTAATCACTTCAGATAACTTTTAGTAACCTTAATTTAACCAACTGAACAAAGTCATTTATTTTCCTCACTACCTTTTATAAATTATTGTATCTTCTAAAGAGAGCAGTAAAATTACTATTTTTTAAAACATTTTTATTACTATATTAATGTTCTTTCTTTTACTATCCATTCCCAACCAACTCATAATAGATATTACTAAACATAATTATTTTTAGACTATAAAATGTGGTACCTTTTACATATAACTTTTCCTACATTTTATTTATTTTATTGTCTAAAGACTAAAATAAATTTGGTTTCCTGTGACTTTTCTATAAATACTTTCATGGCAATTGTTCTGATAATCTTTCCTCTATGGTACCAAGACTATGAATTTAAGTACTGTACTAGATTGGTGGCATGATCTCATCATTTTACAGTTGAAATGATTAGATGTAACAAAGTTCTATGCTAACAATTTCTTTTCTTGTACTTATCGCTTGTGATAATCTCTTCTGGCTTCTTAATTTCTGTTCTTTTATTGTTATTGCACCTTAATAATTTTCTTTTTCTTATATTCTTTCATACTCAGTACCCCCCCTCATCTTAGCAGTTTTGTTGTCTTGCTTGGAGTGAAATGATGATAAAAAAAGAAAAAAAATGTAATTTAGTTACTTTGTAACAAGTTGGTTACTGAAACATTTTTATACAAGTATATTTGCTAAGTTATTGTTAATGGTTTTATTAATTTCTTTGCATTTTCAAATAAACCTTTACACAGTATCTCCCCCTACCACCAGAAAAATACTATTTATTGATTAGGTATGTATGCTTTCTCTTTTCTAATTTGTTAGAAAAGTTGACTAATGAAATTCAATTTTTATTAATCGAGATAAACATTAAAAAATTTTTTATCTGGCTGACCAGGTTACCTGTGATATGCATAGCCCGTGCAAGTGTAAGAACCAAAGCTCTGTTCAGTTCTTCAGAATCAACAGAGAGAAAATTGGGTCCTTTTGGTTCTTTGAAAACTTTGGAAAGTTGAGGCTGGATTTCATTACTACCCAAACCAGTGATCAATCGCAAAGCTGTGCTTTCAACACTGAAATGTAAAGACAAATTAGACTCAAATTTAAATGTATACAAGACAAATATTACTTAAAATGCATCATCATCATCATAAGGTTTTCCTTAGATATGGTCAATTTTTGTACAAACTTACATTTCTCATCCATTTGAATTCACTATCAATAACTTGCAGTGTACTGCCATGAACATTTCATTATCATTACATTTTATTTACACATGTAAATCTTGAAACATTCTGGGAACCAACCAATGTTTTTGGAGAAAACTAACATCGGTCTCCCTTTTAAAAATGGTTTCTTAAAGATTAATGAGCTCTTGGAAAAATTGCCCCAAATTAACAGATGTATTCCAAAATTAAAATTATTATTCAGTACACCAAATTTTCTAAGGAAATCAATGTTTTCATTATAAAATTGGTATTAACCAACTGAAACTTAAAATTTTAGGATAGATTTATGACAAATATACTATGCGAATATCAGCTTCTAATATATGTATTTATTAGATATATTAAAATAGCTTGGTCATATACTAAATTAGTATATATACATTTTTTTCTAAATTAGTACTGAAACAAAGTGGGATATTTTTATCAAAAAAAGGGAAATTGGTTCAAATCTTTTTATAATGATACCGTCATATGTAAAAAGATAAATGTTTAGAGGTTTAACATAAAAAAAATTCTTTTGATAATACAGATTTTGTTTTTATAAATAAAATTGTTTTTCTGATAATGGATTACTGGTGAAAAATGTCAAATTGTTTCCAAATTGTTATATATATTTTGTATGCTGTAAGATTTTGACCAATTTTACTCATAACAAATATAATGCTATAATAGTGTTGAATTAAAAATTATTTAAATAATTATATTTTTATAAATAAGCTTAAAATATAAGGAGGAAAAAAAAATCAAGTAAAAAACAAAAAAGTTCTGATCAGTCAATTACCACAAATGAAGCTGATTTTGATTAGTTTGGGGCACTGAAGCAAGTGAATGAAGGTGGCCCAGGAGTTGAACTCTGTAGTGTGGCTGAATGTGATGTAATCGATAGCTGAACATTTCAAGCAGTGTGTGCAGAATGCCCCAAGCTTGACTTGCAAAAACATTTGGTAACAATTGACCTGGAGGAAAAACAATTAAACAAGATCATATCAGTATAATTATAACATTATCTTGAGATTTTTTTTTTTAACCATTGTCAATCATTACAAAGAGGTGGTGAACAGTTCTTGGTCAGAACAAGAAAACCTTTTAAAGAAACTGATATTTGGTAAAATTTTGGGAAGTGGGGGATGGGCTGAGAACTTTTTAGCACCACTTTTGCAATAATATTACTATTATGAATACTAGATAAAAATTCATAAATGAATGACTGTATAATATTTAGAAAAGGAAATTAGTATGAATAGTAGTTTTGGCACAGTTTTTCAACATACTGGGGTCAACATTCTATTTTTGTACTAAGATCCCAACATAAATTAGCCCTTTTCTAAAGATTTAAACCAAAATTTTGGATTGTATAAAAAGGAAGAAACAAAATAAAGCTTAATTATTTAGTTATTCACAATTATAGATTCCTTCATTTTACATATTCTTAACTGAATTTAGAAAAAATTTTTTTACATTTACATTGTTGGGAACAATGTAAATAGTTACAATACCTCATCTCAGAAATATAGACAGATGTTGAATTTTTTTTTTAACTGTCACTTTGTCATGTTTTACTTGTCAATAAGAGGTTTTTCATTTGGTTTGTTTTGTGGCATATCAATGACAATGAGTTACTTAATGCCGATAATTTTTTATTGCTGATACTATTTTCCTTCAAAAATGTATTGCTGGTAATAATTTTTTTACAATGTATTTCTGTTATTAAAACCTATTTTTACACTTTCATAGTGTTTTGACTCCACTTTGGGGGTTAACTATTTGCCCATAGCTGGGACCCTAACAGGTGCTACCACCTCAGGTGTGGGTGAACCTGGGAACACCCACAATTAAGTGGTGGTTCCATGCTCCTCAAAACCTCCTGATCAGAGGCTGTTGGACGTAGTTTATTGTCTTACCCAGGACGTATGTGTTGTGTGTATGTTCATGTGTAATAGGATAAGGAACAAATACGAAACATTTAAAATGCAACATTTTGTTTTTATTTAAGCTTCATCAGAAATTAAATACAGAGGAGAAAAGAAAATTCTGGTATTTTTATGGTGTTTGATTTTCATTGGTTAAGTAGACCTCACATTTATTTGTCTTATCAGGTAATGTTTGTGTGTATAATTCTTGTGTGTTTAAGAGTCGTAATTGTAAAATAAAAAAAATCATAATAAAACCTGGACAGAACTGATTATTTAAGGATAAACAAAGGTTTGTCATAAAAATATATCTTTGGAGATAATAGATCATAAGAATGTGAACCTTGCTTCCCATATTATATGTAGAGGTTTGATTCAGGGCTTAATCTGCTCATTGGGGTGGGTAGTTAGGTGACACTTTGAACATTGAGAACAATGATTTTTTTCTACATACAAGCCCTACTATTTGACCCATAGTTATGAGGAGGAGACAGATTCATATATTCTTAAGGTTTTTTGTTAGTAAATGGAACAAACTTGACTAATTCAAACTTATCTTTCAAATTTCTCATTCTAAGTCACTATCCACTACATCAACCATACATCCTTACAATTCAGATTCAAAGTTAAAATATTAGCTGAAACATTTTATCAAAGAAAGCATGTGCTATTTCTGTTTATGATAGATAAATATTTCTGCTATATCAGTCATGTAAATGTAGAAGAAAAGGGGACAAATTTCATTTTCATCATTTATGACTCATGTACCATCAAGTTTGTTTTTTTTTCTCATAAAAGTACATTACCTCTTGTTGGAAATTCTGAAAAACCAATATTCTTTGAAAAATGAACATTTTTCTCCATTCAAAAAATAAAGTTTTCAAAGAATTTTCTTTTTCTAATAAAAAATAGGCCAAAATTTTAAGGTTTATCATTATCTCACTATCTCATTTACCACTGTACAAATAAACTCTAAAATTATTTATAGCCACAATTTATTCCACTTGGTATGAATATTTACACGGTTCACTGAATAGACATTGCCATGCCTTAATATTCAACTTAATTGCTTACCCTATACACAACATCAGTGCAACCATTCCAAAATATCAAAAAGAATCCAAATCCTAAGGATTTGGGATAACAAATTGTGACTTGTATAGACTAAAATCAAACTTTTAAAAGAATTATTGCAGAATTTTATCAGGTGTGTATGTACACACATTAAAATTCAGCAATAATTCTTTTAACAATTTTTATTTTACTGGCACACACAAGAGGGCTTAATCTGCTCATTTGGGTGGGTAGTTAGGTGACACTTTGGACAACTGTGTGGATCTCCTAGATAAGCTCTTCCCCCTACCAACTCCTCATCCCAATATGTGGCTGGCAATAACAGGTGGCATTGGAACCATGTGATAGATAATTCTGTCTCCTACCAGGGGCAGACAAGAACTAAACCTCTGATCCCAAGCATGACTTAATATAGACCAACACCTGGTAATAATCAATGTCTGGTTTGTTGTCATTTGGTCTAAAAAAAACCCTCATCCACTCCTTTATTTCTCCATTCCCCTTTGGTTAAAGTGGATGCTGCTTAGAAAATCAGACTTCAAAGAGAGCTATCTGCTAGTCATAAAACACAAACACTTCAGATCAAGATAAATCCACATCTTTTACTATGTAAGGTGTCCATAGTATAGCATTAATATATTTGCAAAAAAAAAAAAAAATAACAGCCAGTTAATATGGGTTAGTTAAAAATTCTTAATAATCAACTTTGATATAATTCAAATGGAACATTTTATTTTGCATAGGTAAGTTTTTCTTTTTGTCAGATGATATCAGTGAAAAGTGACCAGACTGACAACAAATAATTTACAAATTTGTAAAGGAGTTAAAAGATCTACAGATTAGTCTTAGTGTAAATCAAAGTTCTGAAGCATGTACATACTTATGAAAGCTTTTATTCCAAGAGATTCAATCTCCATATACACTAGCAAACGACTGTACGTTTCAACAAGAGCAGGAGCCAATGCAATATTTGTTTTTTTCTTGGCCATCTGAATGACTTTGGTGACAATGCTGTGGATTAGACTGAAAGCAAAAAATAGATAGAATAAAATTCTGGAATAACACTTGAATTTCTTAAAAAGCTTTTCTTCAAAATGAAATAATTTTCAGACGAATTCCAAAATTACAGAAACATTAACAATTTTTATTACAATTAAATAAAAATATATAAAAGCCTAAACAGTTACAATGTAGCATAAGCTATAAAAAAACAAAAGAGTGAATAAAAATAAAGTCCCTTATACACTATTTTTTTTTGAATAGTTGATTCACTGATTCACTCCTAAAAGCACAAGGTCTAGAAAAGTTTCAGCCATTTTGAATTTAACAAGGATCAGTTGAATGACCTTGATGTAACTTGGCAACCAATCAAAAGGTGTCTTACTATGCATGTATTAATACTCTTGTGTAGAGCTGCTTAGTTGTCAGTGAGATGCCATTGAATGAACGTGTAATGCTTGACTGCCACATTCACAATGACCAAGCCTACAGTTTTTAAGGCATTTTTTTTTTTTCAATTTGAATCATCCTGATTTGTCAGTCCCACTACAGTCCAGGTCTGACTCCCTATGACATAACTTTTCATCACTGCAAGCTAGGAATTTTAATGGACAATATTAAATAGAACACAATGAGGCAGGTGATAGTGATTTTGAAAGAAGAGTTTTAGATGGTTTTGAAAAGTAGAAGGGATGCTGGCATAAGCAAGGTCCAAAGGTGAACTTTTTTAAGCCAACTAAAGCACTATTTGTTGGTTATGTTTTGTTAATATTAATGGCTAGGGACTTTCCTGAGAGAGCTCATTGTAATGAAAACAGGACAAGAGATTCTGTCTAGTAATCGTTTATTCAATTAAGAATACTACTACTCATCTGACTTGACAGCGGAAGTATACAGCTTTTATAGCTTGGATTATCTAAGAGGAGATAATCCATATTCACAACACTCATATTGTCCATTAAAGAACCAAAGTTAGACTTGTTTACAGTTCTGTCACAATAAATGTTAGATATATTTGGATGCAAACTTTTTATGTTCAAATAATATGAATAAATATTCTATATTTATAAAATGTTTGTGTTAGAGTTGGTTGGTTTGGCAATTTCTGTTTTGGTATCAGTTTCTATTTTTTTTCTCTCTTGATACCATGGTTTTTGATTCAGTTTTTAATTTAGCATTTTCATTTCTAAGAAAGCCATTCATTTTCTTGTGTAATGATAGCATTTCCAGTCGATATCTGATTTCATTTGACATTGATAAATTTGCAACTCACAAACTCATGTATTTCTGGTCCAATCTTAAAAATATAAAATGTTAACTGGTACATAAGGGGTCAATATTTAGTTTTAAAGGGTAATAAAAATTTATAGATATGTTGCATTAAAGACCACTGGAATTGAAAACCTGAAAACTGTGAATCAGGGTGGGTAATAAAGTAGGAATTGTTCACCTAAAGTCAGTTTTTAGGCTTTAAAGTTAATTTAGTCATAGAATTCATGACTTCAATTAAAGTTTATTAAACTTTTGAATAAATTGCCAACCATAAATAACTACCATATTTATTAACAAATTGGTAAAATACGAAAGAAATTGTCGCATAAAATATCTACATTTGTGTCTTTGGACAACACATTTTTGAGAGAGAAAATAAAATAGTACAACTTTCCAGAAATTAATTTATGATGTGGCTTTTAAAAAAAAAAAAAAAAAAAAATGAAGCCACTCATGCTTAAAATTATTAAAAATACGGCAATTCTTTTCTGGTATGCCAGTCAACTGTTATTGGGGTTTTGCAAATAAATTTCTTCTAAACAAAGAAAATCAGTGAGTTATTTTTCCCCTTAAATAAATGTTTTTATCTAGTGAATACTACACCTAAAATGAAATATTAAAAATAATTAAAAGCTTTTAATTTCATTTTTATAATGTGTATATTTCCAAATCTATGAGTAACACCTGTTCTTTACACATTTTAAAACTGAAATTAAAAACTATTTTATAATCATTTTAATATTTAATCTTAAGTGTATTTGCTAGATAAAACCATAAAGATTTATAAAAATAAAATGAATTAATTTTCCTTGTTTAGAAGAATTTTTAACAAACACTTACTGAAAACTAGTGGCTAAAAAAGAATAATTTTTACTTTGGGTTTAAAACAAAATGACTTGCAGTTTTGAAAATATACATATTTTAAAACTGAGATTAAAACTTACTTTATTTTTTTAATATCTAATTTTAGGCGTATTCACTAGATGGAAACATAATTTTATTTGTAGAAAACAGACAATTTTACACTAGAGACTCGCATATCTGGAAATATACACATTTTAAAAGTGAAATTAAGAACTATTTTAATTATTCTTAATATCTAATTTAGGTGCATTCCCTAGATAAAAAAAACAAATTTATTTATTAAAAAAATCTTCATTCATTTTTCTTGTTTACAACAATTTATTTCGTGATTGGCGTATTGGCTTACTAGAAAACAATTACAAAAAAAATCCAACTTCATAACATTAAATGAAACTAGCATCTAATTTTATTTTATTTTTACTCGCTATTTTGTTGTCATCTTAATTTTACCACAGGTTTTTTTTTTTTTTGAAAACTGAAACAAAGAGATTTTCATTCTTCAGACATCATGTCGTATTTCCATTTTTTCTGTTTGAAAACATTGATTTTCAATTGTCATATCTGTCGTAATTCCTTTTTTCTTCTTCATTTCTTTTGTAAACAAATAGATTTCACATTTATTTCCTAAAACTAGCCAATTAAATGTTTAACAAATTTTTGTTCAATCTTTTTCTCTTACAATGGTATAAATCTTGATAAAATTTAATTTTATTAACATCTGAAAGACTTCTTCAATAGCGTTTCTTTGGATATGGTCACTCAGTAGTGATATAGCACTTAAAAAAAACAAACGATTTCGTTTTCGTAAAAAATTTCAATGCGGTTTCATGGTGTGAAAATGAAACTGAAAAAAGTTGTTTTTTTGGTTAAACCGCACATCTCTAGTTTGCATGCTTCAGTGTAATTATGTTTTTATTTAAACGTGGAAATTAATATATGTACTGTATTTCTCTCCCTTTAAGCAACAAGAAAGTTACACGTATTTGAATATACATTTCTGCATACCATTTGGATCTCCATTACAATTGACAGTATCAACGTTAAATCTTTGTGTATAACAGAATATAGATTTTTTTTTTAATGCTATGTTCTGTAGGTTTTGACTGAATCATCCATACTAATAGGAAGAAAAGTGGTGTTAAATATAATAGAAACTTTTTGATTAACCTCATTTTGGCATGAACAGTCAAGGAATCCAACAGGTTCATTGCCAGTGGTTGAGTTGGAGCTCCTGCAACAATATTACCAGGTAATAATGTTGTGTTTTTGTTGTTTCCATGTATATTTTCCACCAAAACAGCCATGGGAAGTCCAAAATACTCCGAATTTGTACTGTCTGAATGAAGCAAAAAGAATAAAAAAAATAAAAACATTCTTTAATAAATTTGAAGAAAATTTTCAATAAACAGAAACGTGTGTGTGTGTGTGTGTGTGTGTGTGTGTGTGTGTGTGTGTGTGTAATGTCTAAAAAGAGTTGACTTTAAAGGGTGCAGTAGGTAAATTGTCTCCATTTTATATTTTTCATTTTGCACATGCGTGTTGTTCATTTTTGATTTTGTCGAGTTCACGGTATAGTAAGGTCAGTTGGGCACTGTCTGTGAGCAAAAGAGCACCATGATGAAATTCACCCTGCCATAAATTTGGAAATGGCATGCTGTACTGCTTGGCATTCATGCCAGAAACTCCAATACAAACATTTCAGTGTTTGGGTGTCAATCTGAGGACAGTGCAGAGGATTCAGAAAGAGTTGGATGATATATCCAGTCAACATCATGGTGTTTGGAGTGATCACTAGTGATGACGACATTATGCCTCAATTCATCTCCCCACAGGACGTCACTCAGCATGGAGACCTACATCAAGTACCTTGAGGAGGTAGTGCTGCTCTGGGTCAAGAGGCTGGCTGCTGGATTCTGTACCATATCATACAAACAGGAGAACCCAGTCATAGCTGTCAGACAATTTCTGTGACCACATCACCCCTTATTACATTTGGCCACTTACATCCCCAGACTACAACCCCCTTTATTGTGTGGGGTGCAGTTGAATGAGAGACTAACAAATCTTCTTGTAACAACAAAGATGAACTGAAGGCAAGGATTATGGCAGCATTCACCAACTTAAACAAGGAGACTGTCCAGAAGGTTGCAGTAGATTCCAAAGTTGTCGCCTTGGAATCTCCTATAACTCTTCTGAGCAGTCCCCTTGCTTAAGTTGGTTAATGCTGCCTTTATTTACAGGCACACACACACGTTAAAATGGGGGGGGGGAATAGGTAGACTGAAACATAAATAAAATAAGCCTAGTTAAAAAAAAAATCTCTGATATCTGCCATCAGTAATGAATTTTCCTTGAACAAAAAAAAAAAAAACTTCAAGTCTAAATTGTTTGTCCATTTAAAATGCTACATCTATTAGAAAATATATTTAGTTTAAATAGAGACGTAAAATATATATTCAGTTTATGTACAAAATGACTTCAAAAGGCTGGTGTATAATCTTTTCTTGTTATCCAGAGTTTGTTACCAGACAGAAAGGGAAATTAGCCCTCATGGCAAGAGGCCCATTTCAATTTTATTCAAATTGCATATGTATCTATGTTTGTGTGAATGTATATAATTAGAATAAAAATTTACTTACAGGCATTGCAAAGTAGTGCAATTTTATAGTCTCCTAACAGCAAATTTTTATTGTTGAGAGTCTGCTTTAAAAACCTGAAAAGAAAATTGTGATAATTTGAAGATGAAGTCAACCACTAGAAAATAAATTAGTTCATAATACTTGAAAGCTTTATGGCTACCTTCCCAATGTTCCATATCATTTGAACTTTTATGGATATCAAATTATTTTATTTTCAGGTCATCAGAAACTGATTTATAAAACAAGCTTTAAAGCTAAATTTATCTGAATATGTATAGATTTTTCCCCAAGTGACTTTGTACTCAAAAGTAGAGCATTCTGAAATTATTTTCCTATAATTTTCTTTCCCATAAAGAAAAAATGGCTTTTAAGACAACTGCTAATTGTTCAATGTTTATATAACCCAAACACAAAGCTTTGCTTTGATCTCTTCCATTCTAGCCTAGTCAAAATTTTCATTTCCGCCTATGTAAAAACAATCATAAATAGAAATGATAGTAACAACAATAATTAAAAAGAAAAAAGAAGGATGCTTAGTTATAAATCTATTAGATGACTAACAAAGATGCTGATGCATAATTTATAATAATAATTAGCAAAGTTACCAAGCATTTCCTTTTGGGTTTGTTAATAACCTTTGCAGAGATATTCTAATAAATTTACTTAAAGAGAAAAGATAAGAAGAGGCAACAAATAGAATACAAAGATATAAGGAAGCCAACTTATTTGTATTCCAAGATAGAAATGTAGTTCTTTTTTTGTATTTATTGAGATAAGTGTGGCGCAATGCTTCATTTCAAAATCTTAAATGGATTGATTTTTTTATGACTTATCAATCCTTTGTGAGTTATTTAAAACTGAAACATTTCAGATTGTAGGAGGCTGCTTACAGTACTCTGTTGTACCCCATCTAAATACTGACTGGGCTCAATGTTGCTTAACTTCAGTGATCAAATAATAATCTGTATTTTCAGAATGATTTGACTGTAGGCTGAAGATCTTAAAATTCTCAGTACTAAAAATATTTAACTTCTAAAAACCCTTCATATATATATATATATATATATATATATGATGAAACAGGTCATATGTAAAGTCAAGGTATTTAGTAAGCTTGTGTTTACACATGAGCTATAGATGACCACTACATGTACCTACCTTAATACAGTAATATCAATTGTACCTAGTGTGTGTGTGTGTGTGTGTGTAGGGGGAGTTGAATGTCATCATATACAGTAATTATATAGCAAATAAGGCCTAGATTTTGCCACTTTTATGAATTTGCAGAGTAATTGTTTAGCTGTAGCATCCCTTTTTGTGTGAAAATAGAATATTAGTAAAAAGAATTCACACAGAAGAGACCAGACAATGTTAGAAAAACAAAACTTACTCTAGATGATCTTTTAGAGCATGTGGTATCGGTCTTTGGAGTCTGGCCTTATCTGTTTGGGCCTTTTTGTTTAAATGTATCCAGATTGAAGTACTAGCTAAAGCATGTGTTGACTGAGGTTTGGTGATGTCTGGCACAGGTAGGACTTCTGTATCTGAGTATAGCAAATCATATAGCTTCAAGACGGGGAGAAAGTCAGCAAGCTGAAAAAGAAAAATATGAATGGAAAAGTTAAAAAAATAAAAAATAAACACTCAATCAAAAGGAGTCAACAGAAGATTAAAAATGGACATAGTGAATGAAAAAGAGAGAGAGATATAGGAACAAAAACAATTATGGTCTCTGATACTAAATAGAACAATTAAAAGAGGTTTTCCACATTTGTACATTAACAAAGAAAAAGTTGGCTAATAGATTAAACATTAATTAAATACACCTGGTCTCACCAACTGTTCCAAGTCAGAGATATGATATACAAATTTTTATTGAGGAATTTGAGGACAAATACTTGCTGTCACACTGCTAACTACTAGAGCTACTATCATAATTTTTTTTTTAATTACTTTATATTGCAACTTTACCGAGGCCATAAATTTTATGTCAATAATTACTGATATGATACTACTAATGTGAGACCAAAAACAAATATGGTGCCAAGAAAGACTGAAATATGGTAATGAGTTAGATTTGTTTTTTTGCAAAGCTGTCAATTCTTGCGGCTTAATGGTAAAAAGAATAGAGCATTTACTAAGCTTCCTTGAGGTAAAAAGGATGCAAGTCTAAATTTCATCAAGAATTTTTTTTCCATTTATCTTTGCTGTCTAATCATGATCATAGAATTGATGGCCTGAGTAAAGTTACAATAAAGAGCAACTAAAAAAAAAAATATTAAGATGGAAATAAGAATCAAAAATGAATAATAATGTTTCAATTAATTAAAAAAAAAAAAAAAGCTAAAGCTACATAGAAATATACAAATAGATACTCTTTAGAATAGTGTCCTTCAATATTAAGTACAGTGTACACTGGAAATATTAAGCTCAGGACATTTTTCCACAAAAACTAAGGGATATTTATTTTTCTTAATTCTAGATATTAATAATTATTCACATATAAAACAAACAAAAACATTTCCCTCCTTATAATGGGTATCATATGACTAGAGTGAGAGATACCTTTATGTACATATGATTGTATCAATATTTTTTTTAATATATTGAAGTATATTTAATATATTTGTTCCTATAATTTGATATAGTTTTATTGAGGTGTTCGTTTTTTTATGTTTTTTTTTTTTTTGTAAATGTTTCTTTTTTATATTTTATGTGATATAGTATTTTTGTGTTATTGGTAAGGATTTTATTAGATTTTTCTCTTTTTTTTTTTTTGCTTGGGTTAGTGATATGTAATTTAATGGAGCTATTATCAGACAAATGGCAGGTTAAACGACATGATAGCAAGTAAATTCATAGTCAACATTGGTTCATTGAAGTTTTGATTTTTTTTGTTGTCATTGGGAATAATAATAATAATGTTAGAGGTTTTTAGTTTTTTGTAATAAATGGTGTGTGTAATTTGCTTATTTTTGTCATTAAGTGATATGTATCTATGTATTAGATTTCTTATTTTTTGTCTAGTTTATGGTTACTGAGTTTATTGCTATATAATAGTTTAATAGTATTTTTATATTATTTGTTTTTATTTTTTTCTAAGGTTAGTTTAATATTTTTTATCAACTATATAGTTAGGGAAATTATTGCTAATTAGTGTTTGCATTATACTTTTAGTTCATTAAGTAATATTGTGTATGTAAAGGATATTAAATGTATTCTATTAAAATATTCATGAGAATTACTTTGTTCACTGTATGGGCATTCCTTGTTTTAGTAAAGTTGGTATGGGGTTGTTTTTTTTATTTTTTTGACTTTTTTTTTATATTTGGGCCTTCTAAAGATTTTGCTATTCAAATCAATTAGTATGTAAAAAAAAAAAAAAAACAGTTTATTTTAAATTATTTATGATTACTTTGTTATCTGTGTAGGCATTCCAGGTTTTAGTGAAGTTGGTGTGGGCTTGGTTTTATCTTTTTTTATAGTCAGAAGTTCTAAAGATTTTGTTATTTAAATCAATTATTATACACAAAAAAAAAAAAAAAGTTTAATTTTGAAAGTTGTTTTGATTTTTTTACTTTGTATATATTATTAGTTTGAATATGTCATCAAAATAGCAGGTGTAGATTTTTGGTTTCGAGATGATATTTTTAAAATTTCAGTTTTTAGGGCTAAAATATAAAACAAACACAAATCCAATATTCAGTAATTAAGAAACCAACATAAACAAATTTGATAATGGCTAACAATAGTCAAAAGTAGTAAGACACTGGATAATTTATCTTTAAATATGTACTGGAAATGAATCAAATATAGAAAAAATAAACTTTTAAAAAAAACTTTATTGGTCTTTAACAAAATTTTTGTAATTAATGTGTGTGTGTGTATATATATATATATACACACACACACACAAAAGTCACTTTATTCAGTATATTCTTTCGGTACCAGGTTGGAAACTATTTTTTACCTTTAGAACCACCTCAATTCTACTTGGCATGTATTCAACAATGTTCTGGAAGCACTCTTGAGAAATTTGTGCCCATACTATTATTGCATTCCCTAATTTTTCTAGAATAGTTGGCTTCACATGCAGGAATCAACAAGAGTAGAATCTGGCATGATCTTATGCTGTTGTAGAACATCTGCTTCAGTGTTTGATTTTCAGAACATTGGAGCAGTATACTTTCAGAGATGCTCTCCTATATACTTCCATTGTAAAGAGTGGTAATTTGAATGACTGTTGCCACCATCAGCTTAAACCAGTGTAGCCATTCAATTCCAAGGGATTTCTGCTTACTGGAATTTTTTCTTTTTCTGACCATTCTCTGAGCCTTAGAGATGATTGTGTGCAAAAATCTGAGGACATCAGCATTTTCTTTTTAAATAATCAGACACATCCATGCCATATTCAGTCATTTAAATAACCTTTTTTTTATCATACTAATGCATGAAATAAAATTCAGCAGGTTACCAAGACTATGTTTAAATGCCTACATCTATTAAACTGCAAATGATGAGAAATTTACATCAGCATTTGTTCATGTGTATATATAATATATATATATATATATATATATATATATATATATATATATATATATATATATATATAATTCACTCCATTCATATTTCTCAAGATGGAAATAGACATTAAAATCAACCACAGTTTTGTTTATTGATCAAATATTGATTACTTAAAAGCCTGTTCTTTGGAGCTTCCTTCATCTTTTATCTAGCAAGTGAGTTTGTAGTAACAAGCCTCACTGCTCGATTTCTTGTATAAAATTATGATCATTTTTCACTCATTCCTCTACTTCAGAAAATACTATTGCAATGATGATTTATAAATATACTCTAAGAGGAAGAGATAATAGAAATAACTGAGAAATCGAAGAAAATTGAACATTTTTACTGAATTCTTGCATTACTTTTTTATATTTCATTTTATATAAAAAAGTAATGCATAAAACTATTTACAGGACAAATTATACAATTGGAAAACAAAATCAACCCAATTTTAAACATAAAATTAAACTAGACAAATTTGAATATCATAGATTCAAACAGATGGTGAATTAATTTGTCTGCTCTTCATATATTTATTGAACAAATATGTCTGAATAAAATGGTTATAAAAATTGATAAATGTTTATTAATGAAATTTATTGCTTCTATTCTCAGATACAAGAATAAATTATTCTGCTAATGAATTCAGATCTTGTGTCAGAATGAAGGATGATTGAATTAAATGTAGGATTCTGGCATAAAAAAAATTACTTATATTTTATAGTTACAAGAAAAGATATAACTAGAGATTTTCCAGTATCATTTTTCTTTTCTATAGACTGAACTTTCAGAATATACATCCAGTATTGGGTGTAAGTTCAGTTGATTTTATACATAAATGTAGGAACGTATAACAAAGACAAGGCAATTTGTGTACTTGAGTGAATTATAAAAGAACTATTTATGTATGAAATAGACAAGTTTAAATAAAAATTAACATAAGGAACTTCATGCTCAGTTTATACTGACAAAAATAAAAACACTAGAACATTCTTTCCTTAAATTTATAATTACACATAATAAATATACATTATTTCCCCCACCAGTAGCAAAATTGAGTTTCATGCAGAACGCTGATATCAGCTCCTGACAATTATGTCGTGCATAAAACTCAGTTTTGCTACAGATGATTGGGGGGAGGGGGATGTATATTTATTCATATAGATTATAGCTCTTATACACCAAGCATTATTTTATTAACACCAGTACTCAATGTGTGATATTATATATATATTACATACACACATAATATTAATTAATCTTAAATTTATTTATACCAAACCAAGCAATCTATGTTAAAAGAAAAGAAAAAGCAAATTTTCATCAAACAAGACAATTTAAATCAACATGTAGAAAAAGGAAAAATATGCAAGCAAGAAAAAAAAAAAAACTTGGGTAGGTTAGACATTAGGTAAAATCTTAATAAAAGCATTATAAGACATTATTAATAAATGCAAACCAAACCCATATTAATCTGTCAAGGCTTTAAACAAATCTAGTCAGATAAAAATTTTTTAAATATGATATAACTTAGAAAATAATATTCAATTTTTTTTTTCCAGTCAGCAAAATAAAAACTGAATGTGGTGATTTACTAAAATATTTTTGTCTTGATTAGTATATAAATTAAAACTTTTAAATATCAGATTTCAGAGAAATGTGACAGACATTAAGGAAAGGGACATTTATTTTGGTTGCAAATTATATTGGTCCCCTCTTAGCCATGGCTTTCAGTTAGTCTATCAGCCCCAGAAATAATTCATAAGCTTACTTGTTAATAGTCCCAAAGCAAAAAAGTAATGATGCTGTCAATTCACATATACTGTAGAGAAACAAAGTGCTTCATTGAAGTGAACAATGTGACAATTCTTAAAGAAAGAAAAAAGAAATCATATTGAGGTTGCTAAGCTCCATTGGAAGAATAAATTTTACTTTTAGTTATTGTTAATCTCATATTATAAATTAAATAACCACAGGTATGTATATATACAATTCATTACTACCCATGGTTTCTGGCATCCTTG